AATTTATTAGTGTTAATGTTAACCCCACCAAGAATATTTAAAAACAATGAACCATGTGTTCATCTTTAATGGCTGTACGTCTAAGATTTACAGAGGAAAAAATCATGAGAATGAGTTTAGTATTCAGCTCTGACTGATTAAACGCAGATACTTCATTACTCCTGACAAACAGGTTACACTGAGTGGAGCGGGCGACCGTTCCAAGATGGCGGCCCTATGGCTCGTCAGCGCCAATAGGTGATAGCGGTCAATGCTGGATCTAGTGATTATATCTATGGAGTTGCTGCCTCTCAGCGAGCAGGTTCCTGGGTCAAATCCTGGTCCAGGGGTCTTTCTGGGTGGAGTTTGCATGTTCTCTCCGTGCATGCGTGGGTTTTCTCCGGGTGCTCCGGTTTCCTCCCACAGACCAAAAACATGCATGTTAGGCTGATTGGTAACTCTAAATTGTCCCTAGGACTGAGTGAGAGAGTGAATGGTTGTTTGTCTCTATGTGTCCCTGTGATGGACTGGAGACCTGTCCAGGGTGTACCCCACCCCTCGCACAGTGATTGCCGGACATGGGCACCGGCGACCCCCATGACTCAAAATGGGAAAAGCGGGTAAAATATAATGGATGGACTTTAAAAGTTACAAATGTTGTCTTTGGTGCCTGTTTATTTTCCACATGTATCAGTGTGTGTGTGAATGACAGGCATTAACATAAAACACTTTGTAGAACAGTGCTTTATGAAGTTCAGTCTATTTCCTTCTATCAGATGACAGGCAGTTCTGCCACATCCAATATGGCGGCCGCTCTGATGTATCGCTGCAACGGGCCAGCCCACTCAGGAGGGCTGAGATCAGTCTTACATCAGGGAAACTAAACAGCCACTGGCCAAAAGGATGGACCAGCACAGAAGATCAACATCATCAGGCCAGGACTCTGCGGTCTACACTCATCTCCAGTCCAGCGGTCACTCTTTCAGGGATGAAGATGTTCACATCCTGGACAGAGAGGAACGATGGTTTGAGAGAGGAGTAAAGGAGGCCATCTTTGTGAAAAGAAATCGTCCATCATTAAACAGGGGTGGAGGCCTCCGGGTTCAACTGTCCCCCTCTTACAATGCTGTGATTGCTAGTATCACTCAGCCCTCTGTGAACAGTAAACAGCCATCAGGTGCTAATGATCCATTGTTAGGCTGATAGTCCTTCTTGAGCATGTGATCAGCTGGTTTTGGTTGTCAGCAGCAAACTGGTTGATCCACTCTGAGAAGGTGCTATTTAAGAGACTGAGCTGAATACAGCACCTCAGACTGAAGAAGTCTCTCGGATGAGAGACGAAACGTTTCTATATTTTTCTTGTTTTTTGAATGTCCAGAGGACCATATTGAACTTTTTTGGGCCACATATCTAGACATTTAATTAAGTTAATATATTATCTGATAAAATGTTTTAATTCCCCATTTTGACATGATAAAAATCATGTCAACAAAATCCTATGTAATATATTTGTAAAAAACTATGTAATTACAATTAATGTACAGTGGAAAACACTAACATTTCCCATGCCTAATTTAACACCCCTAAACAATATAAACCCTAATAATAAGGTACTATCAATATTAATACCTAACAGATAATGAAATATGCCAAAATACAATTTACTCATCAGAGCTCACACTTTTAAGATAAACTCCTAAACTTTCTTTCCATAAATCTCATGCTTCTAGTGTATGCAAATTATATGTTGCATGTTTGATCCTTAGCAATTTATGTATAACTTGGGACGTTGCAGAGATTTTGCAGAGGTGGCTGGTCCGTCTTCGTCCTCATCGTCATCAGTATCGCCACCACAGGTAATCTGTAAGGAGCAAAATCCACACTAGGCTGTTGACTAGGTTGATAACTGAGAAAAACTCATCAACTGCTCTTATTCAGAGATGTCTGATATAAGGGATAAGACAACACTCAGAAAACTAACAATCATAATCTACAATTAACATGATCAGATCAGAAATCACAAGAGTCCTTCCATAAACTGTCAAACCTGTTACCTCCTTTATTATTTATTCTATTACACACACACACACACACACACACACACACACACACACACACACAC